CCTCGTCACCTCCTCTAACACTACGTGTACTGTCAACGCTTGCTAGTTCTAGTACATACCCAGGCCTCGTCACCTCCTCTAACACCGCGTGTCCTGTAAACGCTTGCTAGTTCTTGTACATACCCAGGCCTCGTCACCTCTAACACCACGTGTCCTGTAAACGCTTGCCCGTTCTTGTACATACCCAGGCCTCGTCACCTCCTCTAACACCACGTGTCCTGTCAACGCTTGCTAGTTCTTGTACAAAACCCAGGCCTCGTCACCTCGTCTAACACCACGTGTCCTGTCAACGCTTGCTAGTTCTTGTACATACCCAGACCTCGTCACCTCTAACACCACGTGTCTTGTCAACGCTTGCTAGTTCTTGTACATACCCAGGCCTCGTCACCTCCTCTAACACCACGTGTCCTGTCAACGCTTGCTAGTTCTTGTACATACCCATGCCTCATCACCTCTTACACCACGTTTCCTGTCATCGCTTGCTAGTTCTTGTACATACCCAGACCTCGTCACCTCTAACACCACGTGTCTTGTCAACGCTTGCTAGTTCTTGTACATACCCAGGCCTCGTCACCTCCTCTAACACCACGTGTACTGTCAACGCTTGCTAGTTCTTGTACATACCCAGGCCTCGTCACCCCCTCTAACACCACGTGTACTGTCAACGCTTGCTAGTTCTTGTACATACCTAGGCCCCGTCACCTCTTACACCACGTGTACTGTCAACGCTTGCTAGTTCTTGTACATACCCAGACCTCGTCACCTCTAACCTATAACCTCGTGTCCTGTCAACGCGAGCGGGTCCTGGGTATGATATTGATGGGAGCCACCCATACACACATTACTAGGACGTTTGGTTGCTCCAGTGTTGCTGTAACTAACCTGCTGACCTAGGCAAAGATCAGGCAGACTCAGGGTAACTACGCCCATTGACGACCGGTACTTGCGTACTTTGCATCTGAGGAGTCGATTCCTAACAGCGCAACATCGTCGTCAGACTGAGATGGGCCAGGACTCTACGTCGTTGGCAGCGACGTGACTGGCAGAGGGTCGTCTTTGTTGATGAAAGCCGGTGGTGACTGTTCAGAGCTGATGGAAGACAGTGTGTTTACCGCCGAAGGGGAGAACGAACGGCGGCATTTTGCGTTCAGGAGGTCGTGCCGTATGGTGGAGGGGATGTTATGCCACGGGGAGGAATTTGTGGGCATGAGAAATTGACAGCTCAACGTTACATTGATGACGTATCGATTGACCTACCATTTCTACAACAGCTGCCACGTGGCGTCCTTTATCAACATGACAACGCAAAACCCCATACAGCCAAATAGTAAGAACTTCCTTGGGAGCCGTGCCAATTTACACTTGTCAGAGGGGTACTCAAAGTACGTGATCTAGACTACCAGTTGTCGGACTGTCATTTTTGTGGAAGCCTCGGTGGCTGAGTGGGTTAGATCGCTGACTTTGTGTGCTGGCGATTAGGTGCCTCACTCTTGCAAGTGTGGGTTCGAATCCCGGACGGGACTCAACCCCCCAAAAGTACGAGAATCTGTACTTTACTAAGAAAGTGTTATCCCAAATATAGCATATGTAACTTCCTTGCAGCCAACAACGACAACGTGTTAACTTGGCCTGCACGCTCACAAACAAGTCCCCCATAGAACACCTCTGGGAAGTCATGGATCGTCGTGTTCGACAGCTACAACATCCTCCAGCCAACCGACAAGAACTTATCCAGACCCTCCGCCGCAGAGCTTTGTGTGTCTTGTATCATGGGGTGGTCCTACATGTACATGCTATTAATATGACGTGTCACAGAACTTGAGCAATTTCAGATCCATGTGCCCCTTGTCAATTACGCTGAAGCTTGTTATGGTACCCCAACTCAATTCGGGCAACTGTCATGCCAATATCGGATGCCGTGTGACTGTCATGTTACATATTGATATCGTTGAGATTTTTTTCAATACATTTTACTTCATGCATCTATCTTTTGTGATTTTTAAAATGTAGTGATTTAAAACTATGGTGAAGCTTCTTTTGACCGTCAGTTTAGGTCGATCAGTAGGTATTTCTGTTAGTTTGTACTGCATGTTTGTGAAAGATTAATTACCATCAACAATAACGAATGCGAATAGTGCCTTGAGGTTGAGCAATCATACCAGTACTACAGAAACCTACTTCCCCGTTGTTTTCATTGTTGGTTCGAAATCCAGATTCGCCCTGATTATGTTTCTATAGGTTTTACATCACCTTTTACCTGTGCTCATGGCTTTCACCAAAGTGATAAAACGTCTAAGCCATACATCACATTTTCTTTTCGATATGTTGCCAAACATCAGGTGCCTATTCCTATTGAGAATCCCCACCGGGTATCGGTCCCGTGAAGATCCGGGTTAAAATAGGTCTTCAGCAACCCATGCTTGCCGTAAATGGCAACTATGCTTGTTGTAAGAGGCAACTAACGGGATCAGGTGGTCAGGATCGCTGACTTGGTTGATGCATGTCATCGTAGATTGATGTTCATAATGCCAATCACTGGATTGTCTGGTTCAGATTCGATTATTTACAAACCACGGTCATATAGGTGGAACATTGCTGAGTACGTCGTTAAACAGCAATCAAAAACCCCCCAAAAAACAAAAAACAAACAACCGGGTATCGAGTCCGAGGGGAGGGATATCTGATAAAAACATTTCTGGAATCCAGTAGCCATTTTCACTAAAAGCACAGCTGTCAGTTATATCGGTATCCGATTATAGTCAAGGGGCAGTGAATTTCATGACTCGTGAGTTGCATTTGTTACAATCTGCAGGATTAATGAACAAATGGGTGATCAAAGTTAAGCAAGTACATATATATTAAAAGCGGCAAGTGTAACTACCAGGGTGTCGTTGTACAAAACAACCTTAGCGCTAGGACTGTCGTAAGCCTATGTTAAGGTATGGGAGTTACGATCACCTTAGCGCTAAGATCCCTTTCTACAACGGCACCCAGGTATATAGCTATATGAACACTCATTTCCTTGCGAGACTTACGTTGGAATTTCCTTAGACAAATCGTTTAAAGTGATTCCATCCATGTCGATTCCTTTTTGCCTTTAAAGGCTGTCATGTAGCTGAGGGGTAAAGTATTCATTCACAGTGGGTTCAGTATTCCACTTTGGTACGCTGTTCGGATGATACGATGTTGATTTTAGGGCACTCACTAACACTTATTGGTGCCTCCCACCACTGCGCGCCTGGGATGACTTATTGGTAAAGTCAAAAGACCTAAAAAGATGGTACTTGTTACTCTGTCTGGCGTTCGGCATTAAGGGGCTAAAACAAGGACTGGTCGGCTCGGAGTCAGTATACTGTGTCTGAGTGGGGTATTTAGTTAAACTGTGGCATGGTATCTCAGTGGGCTAGCACTATAAATCGGCATCAGTCCGGACTAGTACAAGCAGCCACACAGACACACACGTGCATGCACGTCGCTATATAAGTGCAATAATCTTGGACGCGACGTTAAACCCAATTTCACCTCACCTATTGGTAAAGTCGGCGTAAATGCCTAGGTAACGTTCATGGGTAACTGGGCTGTCTCCCAACTATCTCGACCTCTCCACTGTTTCTGAATTTTTCACACATACCAAATATCTCGAGGTCAAGGTCAAGGTCAATTAAACAAATACTTTGACCTTGACACGACGGATGCCTCCTGAGACGTAAACAATCAAGACTAACAAGTTAATATTCGCACGCATTAACATTTTGAACATTTTGAGCCGTAGTGTGTGGCGGTGGCGTAACAACTAAATCCCGTCATTGGGATGCAGTTAATAACCTGCGACCATCAGGTATAGCCAGGACAGTAGCATTATAATAAAACTCAGATGGAATGAGTGAGTGGTGTTTAACGCCGCTTTGAACGGTATTTTAGTTTTATCACGGGGTGTCAGCTTGATGTGAGACGAAAGCCCGAAGCATTGCAGATGAATGAAACACACGGGTCATTATCATGGCGATTCTGGGATTTGAACCCATCTTTGCGTAGCGAATTGCGGTGCATTAGACGACTGGGCCACCCGTGCCACACATTGTACAAAATGCAACTTGCTATGAATTCACATCGATGTTACATGGTGACACCCCAGTAGCTTCACTCCTATCCGATGCCTGTAACGCTCGCGTATAGGTTGACACGGGTGAACCAGTCGTCTTAGGCGCCGCAATTCGCTGTGCAGAGTTGAGCACGCCAGAAACCTATGATTGTGAATCGGTTCGAATCGGATGGGCAGTTAGGTTTCTTGGTTTGTCAGCATCACACCCATACTCGCGGGTTTCACCAAAGCCGTAAACGTCTGAGTCCTGCATCACTTCGGGCTTTCCTCTCACACAAGAAAACAACTGCCTGGTTACACTATGGCTGAAATATTGCCCATGTGACAATAAATCTTAACGTCGTACTCCGTACATGAATTTTGTGCGAACCCTACCGGAGCCATATATTAAAGAAATGTGTAGTGTAAGGCGATGGCACATCTTGCACGAGTTTTGACGATGTGATATTGGAGCTCGGTCCGAGCAGCCGTTGGTTTCTTATCGCTGGAACCAGGTTGCGCGTATGTTGTTGTTTAAAAATAGTGCTTGTGCTACATACAGGCACTTTGTTTGTCGTTGGGGATTGGCCGTGATTCCATTCTCTTAGTACCAGTTCTCATTGATAGTATCGTCGGATTATATGTTTTCGGACATCATACGTTTACCGTATTATATATAATTACTCGCTCTGTAACGAGGGGTCTGGCGTCACGCAGACGCTGTAAAGACACGAGTGATGGCTTGTTTTTAAGTTGTCTTTTATAAGTGAGTGAGATATTTTACAGTTGTTCAAGTGATTAGCGAGAAGATAACGAATGTTTCTTAAGCGTCCGAAAACCCATAATACGAGGATAAATATATAAAGAAGAGTCTGGTAGATTTGAATATTATAAAAAACTCTGATATAATAACACTGCAAAATGTTCGAATACTTTACTTCATTTAAGCCCCCAATTTCCAATGACACTGAAAGAACACAGATTAGTTACGTGTTAACAAACATAGATCTTAATCGTGACCAAGGAAGAAGTAAAGACTATTGTAAAATGTTTTATCCAAATCCTGTTGGGCACACATTCACTTCGGTCCTGTCATATTCACTGCGACCACTGCTTTGGGCTACTTCCGGTTCCGCTGAGTCCATAGAAATATCTACAGTAGGCTGTCTTGATACAATATAAGAGCATGCTGAGGAACGCCACAATGCATTGTTGATACATCCTCAAAATGACTGAAGAAATAAATTGTAAGTATCTCAGAAAAATGTTCCTCAATACACCCCTTTCTTGACATGCGCTTTGTGCCGGAAGTATGACGTCACTTCCTGCTTTACCAGTTCCGCCATGATGATATACGTTGACAGCCAAAAGCAGCTTACAACAAACTGTCATCCTCAGTGTTGCTTCTGTAACGGAAGGAAACATATTTTAACCGAATATTACTAATATAAAATTAATAGCAAAGACGCCTACATTATCCTTCAGTTTGTACTTATACCAGGCCTACTGTAACCTCCATTGTTTGCTATCCATTGTTACAAAAATATTTTCACCTGTTTATTTCAGAACCAAATGTACTTCTTTCAGTTACATTTACACCTCGTCAGTCCGTACACCAGTAGTCTGGACACTCTGATTATCGGACAATTACAGCAATATACACGAGGGGCATCGCTTCGTCTCCACGATTCGATGATAAGATATACATCAATCCGGACGATTTAACTTGTAACGCGACTAAATGAATTAGTTCATAGTTGTAAATGCATGTTTTGTTCAATAAATAAAAATGCTTTTATATATGAGTTTGTATATAGTGCGTCTGTGATGCCATCGCCGAAAACAAACATATTTACTTTGCCATTTCCGGCGTCTTGACGCAAATAAGGAACTTATTGAAGAGCTAACAATGACACTCCTCCATTCGGTGTCGTTCGGCTTTGTGACATATTGTAGAAGCGCAATCAATAATTCTGTTAATAACATCCGCAATTGTTCATATACAATCAAAGCCAGGAAGTTTCAATAGCCGTAGACCGTAGTGTCCGCGCTGTCAATACACCACGTGACCATACCGGGCTTATCCATGGTGCTATTGATTCAACGTGATAATGAGTACAATCATAGTCTAAAAACATATACCAGCCATGAAGATTATGAGCCTTCTTGCGAAGAAGGCCTTTATAGCGACTTTTATAATTCTTATTATTCAATGTGTCATTATTTAAATTTTTAAAAGGGACTAGGCTCGGGATGTATTGGCATTCCCAGCCAGATTGATTGAAGGAGGTCAAATTCAGAACACCGACACCAGAGGATAATCAGTCTTGGTTAACTGCTGAAACTTAGTCCATAGGGCGTATAAGGAATGAAAGTGATTTAATTTAATGAATGGATTACTGTAAAATCCGTGATGGATACACAGTGATGGAGCACACGGATACAATATGTTAAGCCCATTTCCCGTGTCCCTCGCCGTTATATTGTTGGAATATTGCTAAAAGCGGCGAAAAAACATACTCACTTACTCACTCTCTCTAATCTAGACATAGTCCCCTGTGTATTAAGTGGAGATAATTTCAAACAGCTGGATACAAACCCACGCTAAATAATGAGATACAGTAAACTACGGTTATAACGGACTCAAAGGGACTTCTAATTTTAGTTCGTTATAGCCGTAGTTCGTTATAAGCATATATACAGCATAAATACAGCAAATAGTTGGGACCAAAAAGTAAGTTCGTTAGATCCGTCAGTTCGTTATAAGCGTGTTCGTTATAACCGTAGTTTACTGTACGTAATAATTTGTACATCGCTAAAATACAGATATACTGAAAAACGTAGTGTTAGTCACGATAAACACATTTACAGAGTCGTTTCACCAGGCGATTTATTTTCGTGCTATATGATCTTCACGTAATATTATTTTTTATGCATGAGGACCTATGCGTCACTAACGCTGCACACAATTCAAAATGTCAAACGCTTTTTATCATATTTCGCTTGTGGATAACACCATTGAAGGATATATCACATATCTAAAACAGACTTTCAAATAATTTTAGAGACGGTAATGGATAGATATATCAGATGCACATTAATTATTTTAAATATTGATATCACACTAACAAACGCGGGCAGTGTCACATACACCATAAGTACAAGCTGATCAAATACCACCACATCACCAATGTCTAAATATAATTGATTTTGTCCCTTTTAGGATATTAATGAACATATTTGGTCATCATCTGTAAAATGGGAATTTTGTTAACGTTCCAACAATCGTCCGTTGTGTCGAAGTTAAAATGATGCAAAACCACCTTCGGCTTATCCAGATATTCCAAGTCGGTTTTTATGAAGGCGTTGTTAAGCCCATAAACCTAAAACTGACATCTCTGGAGTAGCCTAGTGGATAAAGCGTCTGATCCTCACGCCTAAGACCAGAGTTCGTGTTTCTACATGGGAACGGTGCGTGAAGCACATTTGCGGTATCATCAATCATGATAGGGATGAACCATTACTAAAAGCGGCGTAAAACCCTTCTCATTTACTTACTGTAAATGATGATGGTGATTTCGAGCGCAGTGAGACATCGTTTGTTCGGAGCTCTTTAACCCAATGAAATCCCTAACTCGAGACAAAAGGAGTGCCGATATTGCACCAAAATGCCTATAAGGTTCCTGTCGGGATTATAAAATTCTATCGTCTTAAGCGATATATCGACTTAAATGCGTTCGAGTTAACGATGGGAGACGTATTTACACTGAAGACCCGTTAATATCCATGTGCAAAATACTGCATTCTTCATCACAAGGATCACACATTTATTTTAATGATGTGTACACGCAAAAACATCTTTACTCGAAACATCAGCAACAAAAATTTTAAAACATTTTAAAAAGGCTCATACCTATCGTAATACATAAGGTCATCGGGAGACAGAACTTGAATGGGCAATATCCGGGTCACTTGATTTGCAATCCCAGCATTCTTTGCGGCACTTCCGGATCGTTTAAAGTAGCCAGTATCTACCATTCCAACGCAGTTGGCGTATAACTGCCAGTTTCGCTCCAACCGCCCGTATAGGTCTGTGTTAGCGGAGCGTAGAATGCCAAGAAGGTGGTTGACGTTCTTGCCTGAAAGTAATAAAATGCCAAAGTATAAACACGGTGTTATATAATGCATGAGTTTGGCTTAATGCCGCTTTCAACGGCGTGTCAGATTGATACGAGGATACAAGTGAAGCTTGTATTGTGTTAGCAAGCTCATAATCATAATCACGGCGAATTTAGGATTCTGACACGACTAAGGGAGGCAACTACATAGAGCGAATTGTGGCGCCTTTATCGACTGGTCCACCCATGCCCCGGATTGTAGTTTCTAAACAACCACCATGAACGACACCCGAAAACGAGTTGTCGGCTATGTCATTTTTTAATTTTATTTATTTTATAAAATTGACTCTAAAATTGGTTAAAATAAGAAATCTTCAATTGACTTCACAGATTGTAAACTCTTTAAAGCCGCCAGACTATCCCACCAAACGTGTTAATTGTAAAAGACACATCTCTTTAAGATTTATGTACAAATGACCTATGGTCTTCAAATCTGCAATTGAAACACCATTCTTGTACAAAAATATGATTTGAATTAAGTCACAATGTATGATCGACCAGTTAAGATTTATGTCAGTTGAGTCTAAAGACGCCCGGGGGCACGGGTGGCCCAGTCGTCTAAGGCGCCACAATTCGCTGTGCAGAGTTGCGTCCCTTGGGCATGCCAGAAACCTATGATTCTGGGTTCGAATCCCGGTTCGCCCCGATTATGTTTCTAGGTTTGTCAACACCATACCCGTGCTAGTGGGTTTCACCGAAGTGGCAAACATCTAAGACATGCATCACTTCGGGCTTTCCTCCCACATTAAGCTGACACGCCATGATATGACTGATATACTGTTAAAATCAGCGTTAACCCCAATCACTCACTCACTCACTAAAGACGCCCAAGAGGATGATCTCACATCTCTATGACAACGCAAGACAGATCAGACCTCATGACCTCATCAACAACACCGAGAGTTAGCTCTTAAACCTCTGCTCATACAACGCATGGTAAATGTATGAAAAATTACATTATGATACTTACATATACTGAGCTATAATGAATATAACCTCTACAAAACCTTGTAAAGTCGAAGTCTTGAAGATCAACGAAAATATCGACTTATCCGTCGTCCGAGATAAGCGGTGTAACGATAATAATTTTGCTTGGACAATTACAACGTCTTAAAAATTATCCAGTTATGTAAACGAGGTTGCCTTTCCAAAGATGTATTTTCCATTGAAACTTCTGATTGTTTTATTTACTTAGAAATCATGATGCTAATTTTTTTTTTTCACATAATACTCCTTGCAATTAATTACTCCATTTGTTCTTAAGGCGGCAGGGTAGCCAAATGGTCAAAATGTTCGCTATTCGCGTCGAAAGCCCAGTTCAATTGCCTACGAATGTATAATGTGATAATGCTATAATATTGCTAAAAACAGCGTAAAACATACTCACTCATTAATATTTTCTCACGTATTTGATAAAATCCTTCAAACGAATGACTTCTATATGTTATGTAGGTTGTATAGATTCTGTCTATCACTTCGCACATTGAACTCATCTTGGGAATTGAATCCTGATATTTAGTGTAACGAGCCACCGCTAGACTATCTCGCCAACCAAACAATGAAACCCCTTTTTTAAATTTCTGGTGTATAGTCGTAGCTTTCGAACACCTGATACTTGTTTATTTGTTTGTGACAAACATTTCACGAATACAACACTGTAAGATAAAGTTACACGATATTATTAACATTATATCATTTTTTGAATTTTTTTTTTTTTCTAAAAAATACAATATAAGCGACAAAACCATTTTACAAAATCATACGAAATCTCTTCTAAAAACAGTCCGTTGTATACCACGGTACAATTTAAACACTGTATTAAAACACTGTATGCCCTTCAACCCCTCACCGACTTCGATGTGGACACTATCCAGCGCCACATGACTGTAACCTACAGCGATTAAAAGATATTTTAAAACAAATAACAGCAAATTCTTAGAGCTGTCGTTTCTTTAGTGTTTATTCAATAATGAAAAAAATCACACCAAAAGATCTATTGCATGCTCAGCTAAAAGTATCAAACACTTCCGTAACATCTTAAATTAGTTATTTTTTCCTTTGAAACGATAATGCTCAGAGTCTACAAGAATTGCAGTCCGCTACCATGTATTCATAATGTTCCTCCTAGACGGACATAGTTACAATATTGACACACTCTTCCCAATTGTCCTCGACTATGAAGTCAATATTGACCCAGTGAAGCGTCAATTATGGTTCTATGCTTACGGTCAACCGCCATGTGCATCCTTGCTCAATATATTAATCCTATATTTACACGAACTGGATGTAGCCGCGTTGCTATGCTCGCTGCACACTTCTCTATATACTATACAATAGAGTCATGACATACCGACTAATGACGTACAACAACAGTTCTATGTTAATCCCTGCCAGTGAACATATACCTTGCAGGCTCCTACTCCGCGGACCGAAGACCGGAACAGGTTAAATCTTCACAACTATTTTTTTTGCTTGAAAAAAATGATATACACCAATATATATAATTAATGTATATTAATAGATTTTTGCCGCTAAGGGACCAACCTGTAAGAAACGTACAATTGAATTTTCCCTACACATTTTTAATCCACCACGCATGTCCAGTGAATACTAGTATATCTCATCTCAAGGCCGCCTCCGTGGTCTAGTGGTGGAGCGTCCGCCCGGAGCGGTCACGTCATACCAAAAGATGTTAAAAGATGGTACTTGTTGTTACCCTGTCTGGCGCTCGGTATTGGTGGCTAAAACAAGGACTGGTCGGCTCGGGGTCAGTATACTGTGTCTGAGTGGGGTATTCATGTTAAACTTCGGCATGGTATCTCAGTGGGCTTGCACTATATATCGGCAGCAACTACACACAAACACACACACACACACACACACACACACACACACACACACACACACACACACACACACGCACGCACTCACACATGCACGCACGCACGCACGCACACGTTGGAAAAGAGATTTGGTCGTGTTTGTAAATATTACGTATTTAAACCCAAGTCTTAATTTGGATGAAATATTCGCCTTTAAAGGGGATTTGTAATATCCGGTAATGAGGGAAAAAATAAACCGATGTATTAAAATGCATTTTACAATTTGAAGATTAACAAAATACGTTTTGGATGACTTGATTCAAACTTGCTGGGATTGCTATTTCCTCCGATCCAAGAGCCCCTTTAAGACTAGTTTCAATCAGATAAGAGTGTATTATTCGTATTATTGCATGTATGCCACTGTATTGCTGGTTATATCGTCGGCTGAATAGTGCCATCTACTGCGCATACGATATTTCAATGTAAATAATATCAGTTTATATAAACGGCGAAATTAGTCTATCGAGCCTCTGTTATATAATATTTCACGTGTATTCCGTGATAAAGAGGTATGTGTGTCGCAGTTTATTCTTGACGTATTCATCATAATGTAGATACTGAAGTATGAAAATGTAAATATTTACTTGTAAACATTCTCATTCACTCACTCTTTGTTTTTTTTTGTCTTTCGAAACGCGACCGCCTCCGTGGTCTTGTGGTAGAGCGTTCGCCCGGAGAACGGAAGGTCCGGAGTTCGATCCCCGGCCGCGTCATACCAAAAGACGTTAAAAGATGGTACTTGTTGTTACCCTGTCTGGCGCTCGGCATTAAGGGTCTAAAACAAGGACTGGTCGGCTCGGAGTCAGTATACTGTGTCTGAGTGGGGTATTCATGTTAAACTGCGGCATGGTATCTCAGTGAGCTAGCACTATAAATCGGCATCAGTCCGGACTAGTACAAGCAGCCACACACACACACGTGCATGAAAGTCGCTATATAATTGCAATAATCTTGGACGCGACGTTAAACCCCATTTCACCTCACCTCACCTTTCAAAACGCCCTCGATTAAACATACCTGTAATTCTGGATAAAGACATGAATCCTCGAAGTGGGTTTTCCCCACATGGGTGGGCGGGGCACACGGAGAAGAGACACAGATAGATGAAGAATACCTTCCCTAGATCTTTCTTCCTCACCATTCTTCTATACGACAGTAGCCCTGAAAGAATAACCACTTTCATCAGACAGTGACACATTTAGACTCTCTTCCTTAAAGGATCCGGATGACGAAGGATGAAGGCCGTTTTTGTCCAACTGGAAATGACAACTTTAAACATTGTAATAATGGTATTAACATAATCAGACGAATTCAAATAGTAGACAATTAGCCTTTCTTTGTTTTCAGGTGTTCTTCTCGCGAACACCTGGTATCATCACTTTTTGATAACATAAACACATGGTCATGATAAAGTCGGAATCGTACAATCGACTCTGCTTTTAGCATATATTTTTTTATAGCCATAGAAAGGGTTTTGTCGCTTTTATTTACACGTGCAAATTTGACACTTCTGGCATAAGATTGGCTAAAATGAATGAAAGGCCGATGTTCAAGAGTGAGTGAGTGAGTGAGTTGGGTTTAACGCCGCTTTTAACAGTATTCCAGTAATATCGCGGCTTGTCAGCTTAATGTGGGAGGAAAGCCCGAAGTGATGCAGGTCAAAGACGTATACCACTTCGGTGAAACCCACGAGCAAGGGTATGGTGCTGACAAACCTTCGAACCCACAATCATAGGTGTTTACCCCCCCCCCCCCCCCCCCCCCCCCCTCTCAAGAGATAACTAAAGGAAATACAAAGACAAGATGATTATGTACTATTATGTTTGTACTGTGGCTATCCAAATATCCAAAGGTAATTTGCTTTGGGAGTCAATCTTTAACAATTGCTCCATTAAAACCTTTTAAATCAGCATTTTGGACATATTTTAGCCTCATCTATACATTTACTGATGTTATTAGATAATTTAAGTCCGAAACATACAAATCTCGACACGTTCTCGTTCATATGAAAACAGCTGATACTTTTCATAACAATTTCTAAAACAGTTATATTTCTTAAATTCTGCAGACCTTTAGGGTCAAAATGAGCCATCATCCGAACTTGTCCTTTATTGGCCAAACAAAAAATATGTGAACATTATTTCATCCTGCACATCATACAATATCGCATGACATATCTTTGACACCACCCTCTTGTCTCGTTTCTCATCAAACAAACGCGATCAAATAAATATTATTTGACAGACAGCGGTAGCCCAAGGGAGCTCGTATTGGATCCTAGATCTCCTGGAGATCCAACCTCGGATTGCCGCCTGGAGGCTGGCCTCTTGATGAGGCTCGGGAGAACTTTAATATATGCAGCTTTATGTAAATGACTCTGTAATTTGCATAAATGAATGATAATTAGTGTTATCAAGTTAATAAATATACCATGGGGAAGAGTTTCGATATTCATTTGGGACACATTGGTAATCAATATATACTGAGATGGCGTTGAGTGAATCTTACGATAAGTCCATAACTATTAGTGGGGCACGGGTGGCCCAGTTGTCTAAGGCGCCGCGATTCGCTGTGCAGAGTTGCGTCCCCTGGACACGCCAGAAACCTATGATTATGGGTTCGAATCCCGGTTCCTCCTGATTATGTTTCTAGGTTTGGCAGCACCAAACCTGTGCTCGTGGGTTTCACCGAAGTGGTAAACGTCTGAGACCAGCATCACTTCGGGCTTTCCTCCCACATCAAGCTGACACGCCGTGATATAACTTGAATAATGTTAAAAGCGGCGTTAAACCCACCTCACTCACTCACTCACCCATAACTATTGTTGTGATAAATGTGTCACACTTGTACCCCGCCTCCGCATAGTTGTCGGTGTAGAGTACGATACAACTATTATTATTGTAATAATGGTGGAATATTATTGCAAATGAACATGTTTTAATACAAATGGCTCAAACGATTGCAGGATTAAAGTAGTGGTCGTAGTTTCTAAATGATTAAGGGTGAGTGAGTGAGTGAGTATTGTTTTACGCCGCTTTTAGCAATATTTCAACAATATCACGGCGGGGGACACCAGAAATGGGCTTCACACATTGTACCCATGTCGGGAATCGAACCCGGGTCTTCGGCGTGACGAGCGAATGCTTTAACCACTAGACTACCCGACCGCCCCTAAATGATTAAGGGGGAGGTTGGGAAGCCTAGTGGTCAAAGTGTTCGCTCGTCACGCCGAAGGCCAGGATTCGATTCACTCAAGAACTGCTCTTGTATGAGGGAATTAATTGGAGCTGATGTTCTATCAAAATTGCGAATCTTCAGAGAGCAAAGTTCATCACCCCACATAAAGGTAGTCGACCGGTTCTACTTTCCGGCTGCCAGGGGCGGTGGGGTAGCCTAGTGGCTAAAGCGTTTGCTCGTCATACCGAAGACCCGGGTTCGATTCCCCACATGGGTTCAATGCGTCCCCCGTCGTGTTGTTGCTGGGATATTGCTAAAAGCGGCGTAAAACTTACTCACACAGCGCCAGGCGTCTTCCCGAGGCAAGAGAGTTAACTGACTATAAAAGTCCAGTTTCCACCCTTGCCTAACTTGGCTGGAATTCCTTGTCTCGATCGTAGTGCCACCAGTGGCTATTTCGAGTTATGTCCCTTCTAAGCCTCTCCTTTGGACCAATCAGATTCCACCTCTCGTATCACTTGCATTTGCTTTTAACAAAATGGCGGCGCCAAGTCAAGACGATCTGATCGATTATCAAGATCTATATTGTGTGATAAAACGGGTCTCACATCGCGAAGTACATTAAATAACGCGAGCAATTTGATTTTTAAATCATGAAAAGATTGGGAAAATATCTGTTGACAACGAGTTGGCGGTGCACATTCTTTGCAAATCCTGCAATCGACCGATATCTTCATTACAGTTTAAGAACCGGATTTCGATTTCGTAGCACGATTTTGATTGGACTATGCATAAAATCGTTAGTCCAACCAAAATGTAACTCCATAATACCAGCCTAGTTCGGCAAGGGTGGAAACTGGACTTTTAAAGTCAGTTTACTCTCTTGCCTCGGGAAGATGAGCGCCAGGTTGTCACACACTAGGAAATGTGTAGGAGGCGGATCAAGGAAAGATGTGGCACAACGGGAGATCACATCTCAGCTACTTCCGACCACCGACGTCTACCTGGAAACCGTCCGGTTAAACGAGTGTCCGGATTGAAGAGTCACTGGTATGTACTGTTATACCTAGTATACATCGACTTCCCAGCAGTAATCGCCCGTGAAGATGGGGTTTCCGGTTAAACAGGGCCGGGTTAACGAGGTATCACTGTATATAATGAGTGAATACTTTCGGTTGGTTTATTTGTTGTTTAACACCACACTCAGCAATATTCAAGCTATATGACGGCGGTCTGTAAATAGTCGAGACTGGACCAGATATTCCAGTGGTTATTATCACGAGCATCAATCCACGCAATTGGGATCGATGACATGTATCAACCAAGTCAGCGAGCCTGACCACCCGATCCCGTTAGTCGCCTTTTACGACAAGTATGGGTTGCTGAAGACCTCTTCTACCCCGGAATCTTCACGGGTCAAATACTTTCGGAACAAACTACTGATATTTTTATCCGTTTTACCCTTGTGTTTACCTAGCCCGATTCATGTCACCGAAGTCCAAAACACGATAACGTAACAGCACTCTGGTGATTGTAATGGCTGCCATTAAAGGCAGCTGTCCCTTTCATGTCTCCCGATATGACACGAGACCTATAAAAAAAATAATTCGTGTTTTCCGCCCCCTACAACCATATACTGACTTTTATCGCTTGTGTGGGAGAGTCTTGCTTTGTTTCGTAGTCTCATCATGCCGTGAAGACACCTTATATAACCATTTATTACCGGAAGTCATTAGGCACCGTAAATGGGGCTATCTGTAACCAATGGTCACACCGGTTTCTGATTGGATGGGATATTGAGAACATAATTATCACTTTACGCTTCAGTTTGAATATAAACTTACATTAATACCGAATATTATGCAGATTGGTTATTAGACTCTTTCCCAGTCAGCCAAAAAAATTAGTAAAAATACATTTACGTGATGTTATTTAAATAAGTTTGCAAACCGGTTTTAATGACTGGCGAAACCGGAATGCGAATGAAGGGAAATGTGAAAGGTTAAATTCGGCCCATAATAAAGAGACACTTCAAAAAGGGCGTCACACTTTCATCTGTGCTGGGATGCATAGCCAGGATGCAACCCAAGAAATGAAATACGCCGTTTATAGATTTTAGAGCGACCATAATCGTAAGTTATGGCGGCGACAATTAAGCGGAATATCCGCTAAAGAAGCACTATGGCCGTTATAGCGATTGCCATTCATTGAGAATCACATGTGATTGGCCGACATTGAAGGATTGGGGTTGACATTTAAATACTTTCACTTATTCCGGAAAGAACACAGAAATAGGACAACTATTTTGTCTCAAATATCTGGGTCGTCTGTCTTATCATGAATAATCCACTATTAGGGACCGACCGTTTGATAATTGCTCCAGAAAATACCAGAAAACAGCTGTCTCAGGTTCTTTAAAAAAGAAAATTGCGGGCTAAACTTGCTTGTTGTAATGTCACAAAGTGTTCGTCAATTAAAGCGACAAAACCATTTCCATAATAATAAATCTCTGCTCAAAGCAGAGTCCATTACGATTCTGACTGTATATTAAACATGTGTTTACGAATCACTATCAAATAGTGATGATAGGGTGTTTACGAAAAAGTGAACATATCCTGCCCTACCGGTGGCACCCGTCACAAACACATGCAAAGGGAAGTCAATTGTTCACCTGAAAAATTGCACGAGAACAAATGAAACAAGTCAAAACAGAGAATTGCTTCGGACATATTTTTTTTCAATGATGCGTCATTTTTTAGCGTCCACCACACGTGTACCTTAAAATATTTTGAAAGTTTTTGAAGACCTTGAAATTTGTAACCCTATTAAACAACTTTTGGGTCATACAAAAAATGACCTTTGAAATCTTCGTGGAAAGAGCATGCTCGATTGTACCTCAAAACATTATGAAATGTCTGGAACAAAAGACCGAAGCTGCTGGAAAATTGCTCGACATAAAGGGAAAGTTGACCATTGCAAAGTTT